GAGAACTACCAACACTTTCAATCTCAATAAGATCATTAGTAGCATAGATGGATTTAAGAGTATCCTAAATAATCTTAGCATTAGAGTAATATTTCATTTGCATAAAGCTAGTTTCAGTTAAAGTACTATATAAAATCTCCATAGCTTTAACGTTCAAAGAAAACAACTTCTTTTCTTTCTAAGTCCAATCTCTTGTAGGTTTGAAATCAAAATCATTTATAAAAACTTCTCACATATCTAAATCAATAGATTGAATGTGAAATTGCATTTTCACTTTCCAAAACAAAAAATTAGTATTTTTAAGAGCTGGAGGTTTTTTTAATATCAATTCCCTTAAAAATTGAAAAACTTCAAAAAGTTACCATTTGGAACTCTTGAAACTATTAAGTCCTTTATCCAAGAGCCTTACTTTGATACTGAATGTTAGATATGGAAAAAGACCTTAAAGTGAGGTGAATTGGGTGTTTAAGGAATTTTTGATTCTTTCAAATCTTTTTCAGCAAAACTATGTGTAATGGAAAGTTTGGGCAAATTCAAGTATCAAACTCTTATTAGAAGAAAGCCAAAATAATTTCCACAACCTCAATAAGTGTAAAATCAATTTCTATGTGAAAGTTTGAATAAGAATATGTAGATAAATCAAATTTAATTTTACACATTAAAACATAGCATAAATCAATATTGCTGGAAATATAAAGAGATAAGGAAAGAAAGATTGCAAATAATGATTTATCTTGGTTCAACTCCTCCTCTTGAGCCTACATCTAGTTTCCAAGCAATTAGTTGAGATTTTTTCACTATAACACAAGCTTGAGTGGGTGCTTGTCACCTTAGTACATCCACAAGTTTAGTTTAAGCATTTGTGAGCCTTTACAACAACTCACTTTACTAGTAAGCTTCTATTCTTAAGAGAGCAACCTCTCTTGATTCTAAAAAAAATATCTCCCTCACCTTTACAAAGGTTTTGAGTATGTGAATCACTCAATTGAAACTCTCTCTTAGAGTAATGATAAGTATAATGAAGCTCTAATATTCAAATGATAAAGATATTGACGATATTGGCTCAAGACCAATGGTTTTCATATAACAAGAGTAATATGATCGTGAATTTCATAACTCAATAATTTCTGAGGTTAAGATTAGTTTGGAGTGTTAAATTTATAGCCCACAGAGTGAAATAAGTGTTAGAGACATCAAATGACTGTTTATAGACATTGCACAATGATTATAGCTGTTGGTACAATTTCTTATGAGTGACCAGTGTTATTTCACATGTATTTTGGAGATTTCATATGTATAAGTGAAATATCTTATGAGTGACCTACTAAATCATGCAAGAAATGCATGTCATAAAGCCCAAAAGACAAATCACATAAGGGAGCAAGGTGTCTTCACACATGATTTAGACCATGAAAATTATAAGATGAGAAATAAGGCTCTGGAGGTCATTTCTTATATGGGTACAAGTTGTTTCACACATGATTTAGCATTCAAAGGCTATTCAGTGTGAAAATATGCTTTTTGCTGTATTTTCATGCTTGAACACAAGGTGCTCTCACGCGAGATTTGACATTGGTGCTAAATCAAATGTGTGTGACTTCTGCTCTTACTCGTGATTTTGCATCTTCACTGCATAAAAATTTATAATGCCATAACTCACTCAATATAATTCCAAATCTAACAATTTAAATACCATTGGAAAGCTCTTGAAATCTAGTTTTCAATGAAAGAAGTTTCACACTTAAGTTCAACGTATATTTTGAGACATGATCAAAAGAGTAGACAAAGGTCAAGATTAAATGCTATGCAAAATTAATATATCAACACTCAAATTCTAGAGTCCATATCTTTCTCAATAGAACTTCATTTTGACTAAATAACTATCATTGAAAATATGTTAGAGTATATTTTCAAATGAGATATGTTCACATTAAAATAATCTTTGTAATGAGAGATATGACATAAAGCATGACCAAAGGTCAAAACTATTTTTCTACACAATTTCCTTTTCAAATCTTAGAATTCAAATGTTCATGACTTTTTCAACTTAATTCCATTTTAAGTGAATAGAATAAATTTAAAAATTTTATGGAGTTAGTAATCAAAACATTTAAAAGCTCATGAGATATATATAACCAAAGATAAAAAACCATGATTATAGAAAACTATATCTCACTCTTTCTCTTAATAGCTAAAATGCATGTTTTGATTTAAGATATCTTGAGCCAATACTTCATATCTAAATTAATGAGTTTAACATTAAGACTTCTAGCCTAATGATATTATACCTATCAAGTCTAAGGCTTCTAAGGTATATCCAAACTTGAATGAATGTCTTTATATTTCTTAAGCTTTTTTTGGATCATTCTTCTCTTTATCTTTATGTTTTTCAATCATGAGTATAGCATGTAAATAATGACTTCAAATTTATTCTTCTTCATGTTTACTCTCATCTTCACTTTGGACAATCTTAAATGATATATCATGAATCATAAATAAAATGGTTAGTCGTTCAAGTATCAATGTGCATATATCCAAATTATGCATAATAATACTATAAACATTCTTGGATATAGAATTAGTTTTAAGACAAGGAAAACGGTGATGGTATAAATATCTTTAATGCACACAAATCATTTTTTCAAATCTTATGTAATATGGAGCAACAGAAGTAAAAACACTTTAAAGCATTTGTTCCACAGTCATAGTTAACTATTCTATATATAAAAACAATTAGGCATAAGTATAGTTATCTTATCTATATTTTTCATCGTCAAAACTTAAGCTAAACATAATGTCATAAGCCATTATGTCTAACAAATCCTAGTCTCCCTTTAAGGCTATCAAATGGTCCAATAACCTCATTAGTAGTTTGAACACATCATCAATTTATTAATCACTCAAATTTATCAATTTACCCTTCTTAACACTTTAAAAATTCACAATTGAAAATTGAGGATTTTACAATAGTCAACATGCTATTCGTACCATGGGGGAATATTTAGCTCAGCTTCTTTGAACAACCTAAGATCAATTAGTTAACTATTTAAAATAATTAAATAAATTGGCAAGAATTTTTTTCGGTAAAGCCAAAATTCGAGATGCATCTCAAATTGTACCTTGTTTAGGTGATTGGCATATGTCCACAGTAAATCAAATATCAACATGTAGCTTCAACTTAAAAAAATGATGGAGACCGAAACTCACACACACAGATGCAACGTTGACAAAGCAAAGGAAGGAGAAAAGCTCAAAAAATGACACTGCAACCACAACATCATGAACAAAAATCATAGATGTAAGTGCATACTGACGGTGAGCTAGCAAAAGAACAAAAAATTAAGGCCACTGGCACAACCTGCAGTAGAGAAAGATAGAAGGGGATGAAGATATTTGATGAAGAGATTGGGAGATCAGAGACTGAGATGTTGTGCTCTTTAATCATCACTTAACTAGAGGGGAAGAGAAAGCACTACACGGTTGTGACTCGCAAGATTAAGAAACGCAGGCGGCTGGGGTTGAGACTTGGGAGGGAAGGGGAAATGAATGAATTGGGAATGGGAACGCACAAACAAGACACAAATTAGAATTAACATATAAGCAATAAAAGAATTTATATTTTAAAAGTTATATATTTTTATATAAACAATAAAACATTTATATTATAGGCAACATTTATCTTGTGTTATATAATTTAAAAATAGCATGTAATAGGTATACAAATGTTACCTATTTAAAAAACAACTTGCAACAAGTATAAAAGTATTGCCTATTTCATAATAGGCAACAGTTTCATCATGCTATTTTATATATGTTGCTTGAAGTCCTACTTAAATCCCACACACAAAACTATTGCCTATTGTAAGAATAGGTAATGGTTTTTCAACCATTGTAAAATTAACTATTGCTGTTACCCTAAAATGTTGTAATGAGGCTAGATGTCTACTAAATAAAAATTATGAATTCCACATGTAATGCTACATGTAAATGGAATGTAGAGGAAAATATACATAAAGTATTATACTGTGGTACAAGTTCTCTCATTAATCGTAAAAAATGGTGCAAAAATCCCTCAAATGATGAGTCAATGTAGAAGGAAGGAACAAGAAAATGAGAGAGTTGAGAGTTGGTGCAACCCAATGTGCTCTAAATCGAAGTGTATTTATGTGCATATGAAGCGTGATAAAATAAAATGTGCTTAGGGTTTTTGCTAGCCAAGATAAATTTGAACACATGCCAACAGATCCCTTTATTTCAAATTGACGATTTTTGCACTATTTTTTAAGGATTGATGAGAGAAATTGTATAATAGTGTAATACTTTATGGATATTTTTGCTTTTTGTCCATTTACCCACAACATAACATTCAAAGCCCACGACCCTTACTTAACATATATCTGGTTTGCATTATGGATTGGAAATTTTTACACTTTTTTTGAGTTGATAAGTAAAATTGCATTATACTCAAGTTAAATATGCCAATACTACCTTGCAATATACTTTATAGGGTCTTTTACACCTTAACAACTTATTTTATTCTATACTTGCTTATCTTGCACATATTAAAAATGCAAACAACAAATTATTTTATTTAGAATTTTTTATTCTATTTATATTAAAATTCCCAACAACCAATATTATTCACTAAGTTTCACAACTTCCCTTTTACAATTTGCTGAAATTAAATTTATAATTTTATGTAGATCCCACACCCACTATGTATCCTACATTAGTTATCCATTTTTCACAGTGGATGTTAATTGCTCCCAACTTTTCATTGCAGGACCCCCATATTTTTTCCAGCTTCTCCCAACTTTATCAAAAAAAAAAAAAAATCTGTGTATGCTACGTACTTGTCACTGTAGACGCAATTTACAATGGGAAAATAAAAAATTGTGTATATACTAGTACCTGCCATTGTAGATCAACAATAACAAAATATACAATGGGAAAAGACTAGGGTCCATAACCAATAAATATAATGCAAGATCAAGGAAGAATGACAAATAAGGATCCTTGAAAAATATCAAGGACTTTTTACAATTGAAATATCATGAATTTCCAAAATATCAGGAATTTTAAACTCAAATATTTTTATTTTACATCAATTTTCTTACAGGGTCTTCAATTATCATTCTCCCCAAACTCAAATCAAACCTCATATATATATATATATATATATATCTCCAACAATACTTCAAACTTGAGCTATGTATTTGTTGGCACGTCGGCATGCAGGCGCCAAGCTTCTTATTTATTTTATTTATCATATAATTATATATTTCTTCTAATGCTTTCCACAATCAACATGAGCAAAGGAAATCTTTCTGGCTTCAATATCATGTTCCACTTGAAAATTAACCTGTGGCAAATTTCCATAGTCAAACAGAATGCTTGGGATTATGCCTAAACAGAGCAAATGATCTTGATGAAAGAATATGTTTTGATGTGGCTTCAAGGCTACATCGGCACCCTTAAAATGAACCACAAACTTTGGAAACCTCTTCTTGATAGTTTCAGAATACTTATTTGAGTAACACAAGACAAATGGCTCAGGAGGTTTCTTTACTTCTTTAACCCTAATAGCTTTCTTTATCAAAGGCTCCATCTTTGTGTAAAAGCTTGATTCAATTAAGAACCATGTCTGCCCAGAATCAATAAGTGTGTTCCCCTCTGTTTTGGGACCAATCTTCAATGTCTTGTTTCCAATGGTGATACCTTCAAGGTCAAGGAAGTATACATAATAACCAGATGTTGACATGCTATATGTAATGATAATAACTTCAGAAAAATGTTAGGGAAAATACAACTATTAATTCCTATAGTTTTATCATGTTTTGATATATGTCTATGTATCTTTTTTTTTTGTTGCTTCAAATATTTTTAGTTTATCCTGTCTGCAACATTAGTCTATTTATTTTTGAATATGCCCAAAAGAATGATGAAGGGCACTAATAATGTTAAATATGTTGACATGTGACTCACACTGTTAAGGTAGAATTATAATCAATAGATTGAAACATAAAACATGAAAAAGAACAAAGTGGACAACACTATTGATCTGCTAGCAGAATTATAATTCTACCTCAAAACATAATAACATCATTAGTCATATATAGGTCAACATATTTAACATTGCTAATGCCATCTCATCATCCTTTCAGGCATATTAAAAAATAAGAAGACTAATGTTGCAAACAAGATAAATTAGAGGGATTTGAAGCAATGAAATAAACTATAAGGACCTTTACTAAAACACGTTAAAATTATAGGAACTTTTTCAAAATATATCAACATTCCACAACTTCAGAAAAAATTATTTAATTAAAGATAATTAAATAAGTTTCAAAATGAAAAAAACTCATGCGACCTAAAGCAGATATAATTCATGAATAATGTTATCATAGCTACAACTGTAGCAGTACCTTCAAGAGTGAGGAAGTAATTTGTTTTACTGTCAGAATCAGTTACGAATGGAGTGGTGGACACAGCCCCATGATGAGATATCTTTGCCTCCTTACCCAATTTCAGTTTACCAATGGATTTTGAAAAGTAAGGAACTAAACAGTAAGAGAATTTGTGACCAATCTCAGGACCCAACTGAGAAACTAAAGACAAAGGTCCCATCCCAAGCCCCACAAGCCCTGAGCCCTTACCTGAGAATGCCCCAGTATTGTTATGCCCACATCCTATAAGTAAAGTTCTCTGAAACGAATCAGATTTTCCTCGAAAACTGAACACATCTCTTGCAAAATCTCCGGTGGTAATTGAACCATCCCCGTATCCATATTTGTACACGCATTGTGTTGAGAATCCACAGTCAGATTGGCCATTAAAGAACGTACAAGGTTTTGAATGACACGACACGATCTTATAGGTAGAAGACTTAAAGGGATTAAAGATGGGTGAGTTTTGAGGATAACACGTATTACATGGTAAGCATTGGACCCATATAAGGTCGCTTCCTGTGTCTACGATAGCCCAACTCTCAACTGGTGGAGAACCAATATAGATTCTCATAAGGTACTCACCTTGACCTCCATAGAAAATCGGGGGAAGTATGTCAGTATGAAGGTGATGATGAAGACGTTTATGATGATGAACCATGGAACGCAACCTAACTTGTCGAGTGAGTTCTGATAAGGTGCTTGAGGAATTGTAAAATGGCGATAATGGTGAATCACGGTGAATAAGGTCGAAGTCGAGGGTTAAACCACTGGTTAGAATCGGAATAGATGATAAGAATAAGAAAAAGAAAAGTGGAAGAGCAAGCATGTTTGCTTGGTTCTGATTAGAGTTTGGAAAGATCAAAATCATAGTGGATTGAATTGAGAAAGAAGCATGCGGTATACCTCAATTTATAGGAAACTCATAGGGAGACCTTTTGTAAAATGCCCAGCGAATGACTATATAATTAGCTAGTAGCATCACATGATGATTTTACAGTATAGGTAAATGTTATCATTTAAGAATCAAGAATACGTTGTCATAAAAATAAAAATAAAATTAAAGTGCACCGTTAATCCTTTTACTTTACAAAAAGTTTATTTTAATCATTTAATTTTATAAAGTATTTTTTTATTCTGTTACTATTAACACAATTAGTTTTATCTACAAAAAATTCCTACATTTAACTTTCAAATATTAATCAAATATTTTTAAATGTTAATATATTAAGTTTAATTTTTTTAAATAAGAAAGATTGGCGCAAAAAATAATCAATTAAAATTGATGGCATTAAGGTTAGATAATTGAAAAGATATTTAGAAAATTAATGAATCAAATTGAAATCTTGTGCAATATTAAAAGATTAAAAGAATACTTTAGCCCAAAAAAATGAAGAACACGTTATCCATAAATTGTAGTCTATATATGTTTATTATTGACACTTGACAGTATATAAGAATTGTGGTGGAGACAACACTTCAAGTTAGGGGGCAAACATAAAAATTAATAATAAAGATTTAATTATTAATAGTATTAATTACATAAAAAATTAACAATTTTTCAGCTTAAAAAAAATTATTCAGTAAAAATTATCATATTTTTTGCCAAATATAATGTAAAATATATGACAGAATTCAAAGAATTTAAAAAAATATAAAATCAAATCTCCGTGAAAACATATTAAAAATAAAAAATCACATCAACCCATGAGGGACTAAATGTGTTAATTTATTACAATATTACAAATTGAAAAAAATGACATTGCATTTGGGTTTAGATACTTTACGTGTAAAATTCCTTTCGCTTAAAGTTATTTACCCTTCTATGGGTATGTTCATTTTATGATTACGCAATTAGTCTTCCTGTATTTGGTAGTATATTACCATATCCTCTACTTGAAACAAAAAATCCAATTCAAAAAGACTTGAATGACGATGACTTTAAAAACAATAAATAGAAACCAACCTGACAAAAATGTTATGATAAATAATAATAAGTTATTACTTCTCATATTTTAAATTTAAAAGAAGATAGTAGTTAAGTGGCCAATTATTTGCAGCAAACAATTTCCATATGAATATTGTGAGTTCCCTTCATTAGTTAGAGTTATATAGGGTGACCAACAAAGGTTGATACATTTAAGATAAATTTGAAAAATAATTTATAAAGTCGTGAGTTTAAATTTCACGATCAATATAAAGACCTTATTAACAAGTGATTTGTAAATACTTTCATAAGCCTAGTTAACCCATGAGACCCACACCTATGCTCTTCCACAAAAAAGAAAAAAAGCATATCTACTATGGGGTGTGTGTGGAAGACGACCTATATATTAATTTGCATTGAATAAAGCTAATTGAGGAATTTTCTTTGAACTTTAAGATGGATAAGCATAGTCGAAGTTCCTTTTTCCCAAAAGACAAAAGTAGAAATCATGTCTTGTGCGAACGGAGGGAATGGAACAAAAGGAGTGATAGGCTAAAGTTCCTTTAAGCTAATGGAGAGACCATTGTAATTAAAAGGTGATGGATGCGTTTGGGACCCGTTTGATCGGTTAGCGGAATTATTGAAGAAATATGAAGTTGAAAAGGGGTAGGAAAAAAATAGAAAAGCGAATATAACTGAGTTTTAAAAATATGCTTGATACTGTGGAGAAAAAATTAATGAAATATTGGTATAATTATTGTTTGGTATGTATGCATTTGAAGAAGTTTTAATATTATAAAATGACATTAATATGCCTATATTTTTCTCTCTTCTCCCCAATATTCTTTCCTCATAATATGCTTCTGCAAATCAATCATCCATCAATCATCTTTTTCATTGTTCTTCTTCTTCTTCTCATTGATTAGTCTTCTGTTCCATGTATTAATTATCAACAATTCAACAATATCAGAAGAATTACAGAAAGATTTATTTTTCTTAAAAAAAGAACCATATTTCCGTCGATCTCAAAGCTAACCTTCAAAAACTAATTGGCGCACTTAGTGTAATGAGTCGAGGCGCATGCACCATATATCAGACTAGTGTCACTTAATGTAATATATAGTTTTAATTTTAGTAAAATTTATTAGTTATATTGATTTCATAAATATTTAAAATACTATTTCAATAATTATTTAATTTACTTATTATTATTTGTGGAAATTATGGCCTTTTGATCCCCCAATTATTTTTATTTCTGGCTCCGTCACTGTGTATGCAAATTAAATGTTATCCAATAAAGCAAATTTGCTCTTTATTTATAAAATCCAATAGAAAGTGCTTGACTATATTCTAAAGTAAATCTTCCCCAACAATTTACTCAAACTAACTAATATATATTTATATTACAATTTACCATTATACACAACCCAATTGAATTGGCTTCCTTCTAATGATGCATGCTTACAAGACAGTCCATTGTCAAGTAGTATTGAAGAGACTGCTTCTCTTGAGAAGAAGTTGAAGCATGCTAAGAGAAAACACGATGGTGGTTGTGTGAATTTTTCTAATCATAGCAACAGCTATTAGAAATGATAAACAATGACTAATAGGGATTAGGTTTATTGGAAGGAACTAGTCCTTCATAATATGAAAAACTAAAGTTCGAATCTTTGCTGGGAGATCAAAGTGCTTATATTTAGTGCGTGACCAGCCATGTCTCAAATAAGATTTCCTTAGTTAGAAAGATCTATGTAAGAAATTAAAAAAAAAAAGAAGAAATAATCAACAATGTGTGGCTCAGATTATTAATCAAAGACACCAACATAGTGTCCTGGAGTGGAGGGGCCATATTTTCATAAATGATACGGATACATGATTGCAAAATGACATGATAGAGAGACATTCATTGGAAGGGAAACAGCAAGCATCTTTGGGAGGTCCACACTCTGCATCATGGTTATTCAATGAATCTTTGGTATTAATTAGTACCAAATCTGAATTTTACTTATAGCACCTTAAGGCCCCATTGTTAGGATAATATCTAGCAACTTTATAATAGATTTAAAAAAAAATCTGCGATGAAAAATTTTTCATCACAAATTATAGCAACCAAAATTCGTAACATTATTATATTTCGTTGTAGTGACCTTTTATTTGCGTCAGGCAAGACGAATTACACAGACTTCCATTTCAAAAAGAAAAAATTACTGATGAACAGATCAACTTATGCTTATAGAAACGGTTTTCCTTTTTAAAAGATGAAATGGATCGCTGTCACCTGCCCATGCGATACACGGCGCGGCTGTGTGTTTTCTTATTAATGAACATTATAGTATTACTACAGTGAAAAAATGATAGTATTCAATAAAATAATGACATGAGCTTGTAGAATCGTATAAGCTGTTTAGGTACAGTGACCTGCAGTGCTCGTGAGAATTAAGTGAATAGGTTCATCAGTTCATTGAATTAATGGGCCATCTAAATTAATCCAGATTGAATGGAGCTCGTTCAACATGTATGGTTAAGTGTTTAATTATACCTCTAGGGATTCATGTTTTTTGGCATATTTTCCTTGAGTTTTCTACATTTATTTTGTGTACATTTGTATATTATAGATACATTTTTATTTCTTTATTATGCTAATTTTAGCCTTGATTTTGGTCATTAGATAACCTATATATTTTCTTGTAGGGATCTTTTGGGGTTGAATAATCAAGTCATTCAAGCTAGTTGGTGATGTGAAACGAGAAGGGAAAGGGGAAGAGTGACGGGGGGAGCTAGGGAGGGAGAAGGGGGAAGCAAATAAAATGCACAACTTTTATTTAATTAATCAATAATCTCCACAACAAATTACCATAGATTTCTCTCACAAAAAATGTTATGAGAATTTCTCTCAAAAAATCTCTCATATAAACTTTCTCTTGGATTTTCTATCAAGTTACAAAAGAGAGAAAATTGAGTGGAAGTAACTAGACTCTGAAGTGAACTTATTTTCTCTCGGGTGATAAAGAGAGAAAATTGAAGAGAAAATTGAGAGAAAGTAACTGTGTAACATCCTAAAAATTAAACCTCAATTGATTAGGCTAATTGAAGGTAGTTAAGTAAATTAATATGGTGTATAATCAGAGAGGGCCAATGATTGTATTGGGTTGTGGTTTTAGTCTTAGATTCAAGTCTAAAGTGGAGGTCGGGTACTTGGACCTCCAAAAAGGGGAGAAAAACAAAGTAGTATGACTCTGTAATAGGCTAGAAAATGCAAAGAGAACCTCTTTATACCACATGTTGTGATGCATGTGACGTGTGTTGTGGTGCTTGGTCAAAAGTTTGTTTAATTAAAGTGCTCAGACATTTGAAAAATAGAAGAGGAGAAAGAGGGTTGAGTGAGAGAGAGACAAAGGTTGAGAGCTCTATTAGGGCTTAAAGATTCAAAGCTTTGGGAACATTTTGGAGTTTCGAATCACTTGTGGTAAGCTTCTCAAGCCCTAATATTCATTCCTCTTTCTCTGTTGATAGTTTTGGAGGTTAGGGTTTGATGTCAAAAGTGATTTTCAGACAAGCCTCGAGTGTTCTCTCATGAGTTTTAGAGTTCCAAAACAATCTTTAGTTTTATGATGCTCAAACATGTGAGTGCCAATATGGCGCATTGATAACTCACAATTATTACACACCTTTTCTTATTATTATTGACCAAAAATTATATTATATTTACCCAAATTGCACACTTATTGCATTAATTGTGAGAAATCGCTTAAGTGTATGATTCTGTGCATTAAAGCAATTTTGGTCATAAAATTGAACTTTTGAGAAAATGTTTGCAAAAATTAGTCAACATGTATTTTTAGTCTAGAAGAACAATGGTCTAATTAGATTTCTCAAACTATTTTTAGATTAAAAATAATTAATTTCACAAATTGACAATTTTGGAAAGTCAAAGTTTCAGATTGACTTGTTTTCTTGCAGTTA